AGAGATGCTATTGAATCAAATTGGGTTTTGACTGATTCTTTAAAGAAGTTCGATTCTTTTGCCACTTTAATTATACTTGAAGTTATAAATTTTGAATTTGATCTAAGTACTTTAGGGTTGATAAAGGTTAAGCTATATAATAGTTTTTCAACTCTAATTTGCAATGGTTTTCGATATGCTGCTGTAGTCATATCAAGTTGTAGTTGTTCAAGAAAAATTAGAGTGGCAAGTTTTTCTGATAGTTGGTCAAATAGTGATATAGTTTTTCCAGTGAATATGATTGCTCTAAACTCTGCGCTAATCCAATTCCAAAAATTTATAAAATTCCTAGGGATATCTTCTGGTATTGGGTGACAACTTAAACAGGTATAGTCAGTTGATAATGTCATTTGTCTTTTGTTATATTGTTCAATATGTGCTTCTTGAAGTTTGTTATATAAATCTAAATTCATTCACAATTTAACTTTCAAAAGTCTTTCTCCTGGCAGGAATCACCAAACTGTTAGATCTGGAATCATCTCGAACCAAGCTAACAAAACTAATAAACTTAATATAACAATTATCTCAAAGGCCTTTTCTGAGAGAAATTAACGGTAAACAAATAAAACAATTTATTATCACGATTCACTTGTGTAGTAGGTTATCACGATCAATCCTATGATGAAGACAAGAAGTAGGTTGAAAGTGTAAAATAGTAACAATGAAAATAATATAAGTAATGAAAAATAAACTATATAATATTTATATTAAAAGGTAAATGATATTTGGCGCAGTTGAAGATCATTTAAGGCACAGTATGAACTGCGGCTAACAACGGTTTTTTTAAAGTCAGGATGAAATAGCATGAAATTAGGTGGAGGAATATTGGCGTTGGGCGTCAATATAAATAAATTTGATTTAGTGTACATAATTTTATCTGTAATCCTTAAGTAAAAACAAAGATTACTGCAAGAACTAAATTTACTTAATTACACCTGCAGGCAAGAAATTTCTTCCAGTGTGTTTCATTATTCATTTTGCTGCGCCTTTTTAATACCAATGAAAAGTGATCTTTTAGGCGAAAGAGATACTTTGTATTCAGTTCTTTCGTTTATGTATTTATAAACAATTTTAAATGTAAGCAGAAGGTTTATATTGAGTAAAAATGAAATAATGTTGACGCTAAATTTATTTAATAATATCAAATAAATAAGTGTTGCCTCAAAGTCGGTGCTCTACATTTTGAAATGTCAATATAATAGACTGAATAAATGCCAATTACTAATATTCTAATTATTAAAACTGCACAATTACGAAAATTTGAATAATAAAATAACGGGAATTAAAAAAAATAAACGAAATTACATTATAAAATTGAAATGTTAAAGCGACGAAAGCGAAAATATCGCGAAGGGATTAAAGAAAGGTTTTTAAGGTGTACTACAAAAAGGGCGGGCGTGGTATGTTGTGCTCTTTAAGGATTAACGACTTGGCACCCTGCATTTTTGTCAATCCTGGCATCGGTACCTTGACAACCTGACACCGTGACAGCTGGCAAATGATCTTCAAAGAACTAACAGCAAATATCGAAACGATTTACATACAGATTTATGGAGTTTCAATTCATGTTGGTCATCAAATGATGATGATTATGAATTAGTTGATGAAAATTTCACTATAATTCTTTCAAGAACAGTAGACAAGTCATTAGGGATACTTGAACTGACGGAAAAAAAATATAAAAGATTTGGTCATATGTGCTTTTAACCAATGAAAAATAAGAGATTGAAACTTAAAATTTATTTTTAATCTTTTAACATTAAATGAACCAATAACATTCATACAATTTATGAGCACATTTAAAAGTTACGGGTACTTTTAGATTGACCACACAAAATTGTTATACATTTGTTAAATGGCCCGACATAAAAAACCTTCTTGCTTTTAAAATTTATTGTCCTCCGATAAACGAACGCCATGAAATGCAACAAAACGTGAAATATGTGAAGGCTTGTGAGAAAATGTTGGGGTTTTGGGGGTTATCTTATTGTATTACCTTAAATAATCTTTTTCATTGTTTTGAAGCGACGATCCCCCCCCCCCCTTAAAAACTATCGATTTTTTTTTTTTTTCGCATTTTAATTTTTTCCTGAAAAAATTTTACCGAAAATCTACAAAATGTCTTTCAAACGCAATACCTTGAAGACACATCCTTGCTTGTCTTTCAAAAACCTTTTACAAGTTCTTATTATTATATTAACACTGCTTTTACGTTATTGAAAAAAATAATTCAACTTCTAAAGGAGTTTAAATTATAATAAATTTTTGTTAAAGAGAAAATTCAAATTATAATTCTGGAGAAGAATTCAAAAATTCGAAACTTTAAAGAAGTTTGAATTATAATAAATTTTTCTCAAAATTTATAAGAGTTTGAATTATAATAAATTTTTGGTGACACGAGAAATATTCATTAACAAAAGAAATAACTACGGTCATATAATGAGAGAAAGAAGAGTTGGATTATCTTGTGCAAAAGACGGAGGAGATGATTAGGATGTCCTTGGTGTTAAAACTCGCAAGATCGACACGTCTCTGGAATAAGTGTTGAACTGTTTAAATTTCTATAGTTAGGTTGGATAGATTAGTTTACGTTATTCCTTGTAATTCCTTACCCTCTTACCCTTCCAATCCTTTAACCTCTTTCCCTTCCAACAATCCCTTGCATGTTTATAAAATATAAAAGTTGAATCCCATAAAAGTTTTATAATTTTATATTGATGTTATTATTAAATAAATGTGATTTTTTTTATATTGAATAAAACATTATTTCGTTTGTTAATAAATCTAATTCTCATTGATTTCTATAATATTGATTTCTGTGACTTGAATCTTTTCTTTTTCAACGAACTTTTGCATCAATTTTTCTGCGCCACTCGTAACGCAAACGGCGAAATTATAAATTATTTAGTATTAAGTTTACTTTTTTTTTTTTGTTACGTATATGTCGTCCATTAAAATAGACAAAAAAAAGTTTTTTTTTTCGAAATAAACGTCAAAAATAAAAAGTTGATGAAAAAATCATTTCGATCACTTAATAATATATCCACACACATTATTAATTTACCAAAATTGAATTTATTATAACATCTAAAAAAAAAAAAAAGAATATAATCGAAACGAAAAATAATTTTTTTTTTTTATACAATCGATTTCCTAATATATTCACACAAAAAATTGGCGTGATTATAAAAAGCTATATGATGTGATTATAGAAGTATTACCGCTACCTTCGGTCTAACAAAAATGCGCTTATAGGGAGGCGACTGCATTTAAATATAAATTTAACCTAGTATTTTTTTTTAAATATTTGTTTTCAATTTTAACGTTAAATCATATACAAAGTTCTTATGAGGAGATTTATTTTTATTTAAAATTTTAATAAATTTATGAATGATAGATACTAAATAGTTTTAATAATTTAACAAAATATATACCAAAAAAAATAAAAATAATAAAAAAAAATAAATATAGAACTGAAAATACCTATATTTATTTGACAAATGCAACAATTTGCTGAAAAATTGACCTGTAAAAGCTCAGAATGATCATATAGATATGTATCATCACTGGCTAAGATGCACTTTTTATTTGTGAGACATTGAAATACAAAGATAACTTTGCCATGGTAAATTTATTAATACAAAGTTTGAGACTTAGCCCGTGATACATATTTTCCTTGATTTTTGCATAAGCCACAGGTTCGAAAAAAGGAATTAACATATTACCCTTTTTATTAATCCGATACCAGCAGACTATGCTGAGTTCTCGATGATTGCTTGTAATCGATTCCTTTTAACTGAGCTATCTCTTCACGTAAGAGTATATAATGCATTGGGTATTCAAATCTATAGATTCATCAGAATCAGAATCGTCGTCATCATCATCTGCCTAGCTTCTTTTGATCCTTCTTCTGACTGAGACATGGAATCGCCTCTGATGGAACCGATGATTAGGATACTTGATGAAGATGATAATACCTCGATGATATGGTATATGTTAAGTTCTAGACGGATATTAAAGTAATCATTATTAGCGACACTTTCCTTTCATATCTTCTGTCCTTCCATCATATCTATCTCTTCATCTGATTCCTTTGGTATCTCCTCATCCTCGTTGTTCTCGCTAGAATTGGAAGAAAAATCAGGATTTTAACTTATATTCTTGACCTTCAGGGTCAGCTGGACTACATATTGTACGTTCCTTCCTTTGACTGAAGCATCTTATCACCCCATAAATCTTCTATCTTGATATCTTTCATCCTTAGCTAAATACAAGCTTCAGTTCCTTAGAAGAATTGATGACATAATGTGACCATTTTCGTCTTCGTAGAACTCACATGATTCTAATATTTTGGAAGTCAGTTTTCGAGGTGAAAGAATTATTAATAGAGCTATTCTGATTTTTCTTTTTATAATAGTCGTGAAATCATATTGCACTTTTTGGTAAAGAGATCTATAATCGTAAAAAAAATGTTAAACGCGATGCATAATTTTTTTTACCGTAAGCTACTGTGCCACTATATCATGAAATTATTCATAAAATGCTTGCAAATTAATAAAAAGTACAATGATGCCCGGAAGTAAGCACTTTAGGAATGATAATTCTGCAAAAAAATTGTTTGTGAATAACGAATAAATTTAAAGATTTATGTACATGACATATCAATTTGATAAAGTTCAATTTATAAACATCGTTAAAAAACAAGTACATTTATATATTCACTTTCTAAGGTCAATTGAACGTTATTGTATTAGTATATTTGATAATAGCAAGAATTAATGTGAACAAATATATAGTCAAGGACTATAATTTAATGTGAATGCATTCTATATAAAAGTATTCGCAGAAATATTTATGAATTTACATTTCAATCGACATTTATTCGCCTGATTAGCTTAATATTTTATCATCGAAGCCGCGATTGTTGATCGGATTGTTATTTATTCGTTATAAATTGATCCATGCCAATTGACATTGAGCTCGTAATAAAGTTAAAGCTTCCAATGATGAAAATTGTCGGTCTTTTCTTTGGAGCTAATGAAATCTTTATTAAACTCCCTCTCGTAAGAGTTTTTTATTTATTTCACTACTGCTCACACTTGCACTTTGATTTCATATGACATTAGTGCAATTCCAAGTTTTACGTCGTTCGTATAACAAATCTTCAATTGGTTTTGAGAAATTTTATCAAGGGCTTATTCTTGCAACAACGAAAGGTTAGAGCCTCGAAGCCGATCGTTCGAAAATTTTAAGTGAAATCATTATCGGAAAAATTCAGAACTTTACAGAACTTAGATACTCCAGAAACTGTATGTGTGTGATAGAGTGATTTATTCAAAATCTCGGGTTGATGCGATCCACTTCAAGGAGCTATTTAGAAGTTGGAACCGGTTAATTTACAAATGATTTCGCTAGCTTGGTCAATTTAAAGTGTTAAATTTTACCCAGTTAATGACTTTTAGGTATAGTCGGTAAACAGGTCTCAGGAAAAAAATAAGTTTATTTTTCATTCTCTGTTTTATATACTAAATTTCAAATGTTTATTGTGACTCTCGATGATTATATTGTATATAGGTAGAACGAGTTGAGAAAGTTGCTGTGTACCATCATTTATTCTTGTTATAGTAGGCATAGTTGGCTCAAAAATGTATACGTTGGGCAACTAGGAGAATATTTGGAATTTGTTCATGGGTACATCAATGGATAAGTCGAAGGAAATCAACAATACTTAGATATCGTTAACGGTGTGCAAG